CACTTTAAAAGACTTGCTAAAATTACCCCAGCTAAAGAGTGTCTAGTGTCACAAGCTTTGTTCCTAATGTATGCTGAGGCCGAGGCCTCCCCTTGTGCAGCTCCAGTCCCTGCTCAGCCGGGAATTATACACCCACTGGGGTCTGCAGGTCAAGATTTAAGTGCATTAACAGAGGGCCTCCTCAAGCTAATGTGACAGAGACCCATCAAAGAGAAGCGAGAAGGGGGACAGAAAACAAAATTAAATAGCTCTTTCATAAACTTCGATGAAGTTTCACAAATAGAGACACAGATGCGAAATTTGAAAAACATTCTTTGATACCTTAGTCGTGGATGAATAGGTTTCTACCTTTAGGCAATTTCGGCATTTGCAAGGCACTCACTTTGCGTGAGGGGACACAAATGTGGGGACAGAGGAGAGGGAGGAGGGGAGGTGCAGGGTCAGCTTTTAGCCTGTATCCCCCAAGGTTTTCTAAGTTCCAAGGGTCTTCGTTTGGAGCTATTTTTGACAGTGAGAGCAGCTCTCAAGTAAAAGTGAGACCCAGAACTGTCTTCCTGAGATGAACCTGACTCTACCCAGGTTGGGAGCTTCATGGTGGTGGGGTTCTTGAGCTGGCTTTTGGGACCTGGCAAAAAAGCCAGGACAGATACAGTGGAAGGATATTCTGGGTACAGGTGAGCGTAGTAATGGGGGGGGGACAGAAGCCAGGGGACATGTTCTGCTGTGTGACACTAGAGAGTCGAAAGCGCTTGGCATCAGTCTGGTTGTTTGGGGCCAGGCCGAGGACCATGCCACAGGTGCCTTACAGGCTCAGCCCATGTCGTAACCTTTCCTGCAGGACGGAACATAGGAAAAAGAATGAATTTGGGAGGGAAGGTGACTGAGATGGGCGTCTGCAGATTTCGCCCTCCCAGCATTCTCCCACCTGCTTCTGTCCACAGTACTTCAGTTTCCCTCAGTGAGATACCAATGTGCTTTCCAAGAGAAACAGGCTTCATGATCAAACAAGTTCGAGAAATATGGGATTAAACAAAGCTAAACAGTTGTTTTTGATGCAGTGCTTCTCAGGGCCTTACTATGTAGTGATACTGTGCACACTGAGGGCAGGAATAGAGAATATAAAGCATTTCTTGTATTCCCTTAAACAGACAATGCTTTTCTAAGGAATAGATATGGAAACTGATGTTTCAAGGAAATCACTTTGAAAGACATTAGTCTACTAAGGGTCAAATGGACCCTTGTGTCGTGATGTGATCGAAAGGATATAACGCCATCTATGATGTATTCTTGCAAAAAAATTTACCCTGATTCTACCAGGGAGGGACCAATCAGACAAAACAATTGACTTAGACTAAGTCAGTGCCATGGGAGATGAAAAGAAAAAGAAAAGAAAAAACAATAAGGAGCCAGGCTGGCGTGGCTCAGCTGTTGAGCATCAACCTAGGATCCAGGAGGTCGCAGTTCGATTCCCGGTCAGGGCACAGGCCCGGGTTGCGGGCTCGATCCCCAGCAGGGGGCGTGCAAGAGGCAGCCGATCAATGATTCTCATTATTGATGTTTCTCTCTCTCTCTATTTCCCTCTCCCTTCCTCTCTCTGAAATCTATAAAGATATATTTAAAAATAAACAAAAGAAAAGAAAAAACAATAAGGAAACCTTTCTAAATTGAAGGAATCTAAAGAGACATTATTAATAAATGCAACACATGAGCCTTGATAAGATCTTCTGGGGGAAAAAATAGGCATAGCCCTAAAGGTCCTTGTTGGGACAAATGCTGAAGTTTGCATATGAACTGTACATTGCATAATAAAAAGTAGGAAAAACCAAGATTCTGACTCAATTATATTCTAATGGACCAGCTCTTCCCTGAAGTGCTTTGGTATCTGGGAATTAACATAAGGTAAGACCCCCCCCCCAAAATTACAAGTGCTATGTTTGTTCCATTAAAAAAAAAAAAGCTATTTTAAGCTGTGCTGAAACTATAGTTATTGGTAACTGTTGTGTGCAAATAAGAACTTCTGTTTTTTAATATTGCAAACTCCATATAATTTGGGGGGAAAATATTGTATTAGAGATGAAAACAGAATGTTTTAAAAATCTCCCAAGAAAACCTGAGTTTAGGGCTCACATGAGTTGTTGGAATCCATTTCCATTAAATAGTGTTTAGGGCTCAGAAAACATGGTGTTTCTCTAACTCTAGCTTCAAAAACCCACTATTATAAATAATTGGGGATAATTATGAGAGCAGCTGAATAAACTGGAAAAGGCTGGGCATAAAGAGAAAAGCAATCGGATGAAATGTGCAGTTCTTGAGCCAGCCCATAAATCTCCTTGGAATCAGAATAACAGACCTCATCTTCTACACTGGAACCAACGCTTAAAGTAAACACCAAACGAAACCTAACAAAATTAAAATAATGTTACCCCAAAAAGTGACTCTTTTTTTTTTTTTTTTTTTTTGCAGTGACTGGGAGGAAATCTCTGGACTCTTACATCCTAAAAATAAATCCCCTTGACACTCGACTAAGAAATATGGCAATAACTTATTTTTGAGGATAGGGTGGTTCCTTAATCCTGAGGCTTTTGTGATTCCCTTCCTTCCACCAACCCAGCAGCCCCTAACTCTCCTACCATTGGAACTATAATGACTTTAGAAGCTTGCCAGGATCAGGGTTTCCCAAATGGCAGTCGTGTTTAAAAATGGAAATAAAAATACCTGTGTAGCTCAGCTGGTGTGGTTCAGTGGTTGAGTGTGGACCCATGAACCTGGAGGTCATCGTTAGGATTCCCCCTCAGGGCACATGCCTGGGTTGTGGGCTGGACCCCCAGTAGGGGGCGTGCTGGAGACAGACTACTGGTGACTCTCATCATTGATGTTTCTCCTCCCTTCCTCTCTCTGAAAGAAATAAAAACATTAAAAAAATACATGTATAAAATGTGTAAAGTGCTCTAATCTTAGGTATACAGCTGCATGAATTTTCACGTCTATACCTTTGTTATCCACCATTCAGATAAAAATACAGAACGCATGCAGCACCCTGCTGTTTTTCCCCAAAAACCCTTCTCCCTCTCAACCATTGTACATCAATAACTATCAGTTTGCGCATTCTTGAACTGCATAGAAAGTGTTTCCACTTTTCTTTAATAGTTTTCCTTAAGCAGACTCATTTTTTACAACTTTCTATTTGATCTAAGAGAGAACGTCTACGCAATAGTGGTTTGACGTGATAGGCATTTCCCCCGGCCCATCTCCCATCCGCATTAAAATAAACACACAACTATAAAAACGAATTCGTTTCTTCCTGTACCAACAGACCACATTTTGTTTCTCAAATGTCCACCAGATGATTTCTGAGGTCCTTTGCAACTCGAAGATTGTATGATTTTGTGGCTACTGAGTAGCCCAAAGTTCCTGAAATACATTGTCAAAATCCTGATGCGGCCATAGATCCCATCCATCATCCATGCATCCATGCATCCATGCATCCATGCATCCATCCATGCATCCATCCATGCATCCATGCATGTAAAACACTTGTTGAATATCTAGCAATGACTCTCCTAGACACTGGACACACAAAAGACTTTACCCCTTCTGATTGTAAGTGGAGGGAAATAGAAAAGTAAACCATTTCAGTATGCGTGGGGAGCGCCACAGGGCAGGTTAGCACGAGCACACAGAGGAAAGGTGGTTTCCGGAGCTGGGGCGGAGAGGCGAGGGCGGCTGGGCATCTTCCAGGGCAGCTCTGCCAGCCGCCCCACTTCCATCACTTCGCCGCGGCGCACCACAGCCTTGCAACCTCAGCTTCCCTTAGCAACCCGAGCGCATCGCCCAGCCGCAGCTGTCTTCCTATTGGTCGTGTGGAGCTTGACGGACAGCTGTGCTGTGCAATCCCAGCTCGCAATCCTTGGCTCCGCGCTTAATCGTTCCTGCCCCTCCCGGGGAGCCCGCCCACCCGCGAGCTCCTG